TTTCTTTCTTTCTTTCTTTCTTTCCTTCCTTCCTTCCTTCCTTCCTTTTTTTCCTTCCTTCCTTCCTTTCTTCCTTTCTTTCTTTCTTTCTTTTTCTGTGGTTTTATTTTCTTATACTTTATTTTTTTAATTTAAAATCAATTGAATTAACATAGCATACTATTAGTCTCAGAGGTAGAATGTAGTGATTCATCCGTTGCATATAACACCCAGTGCTCATCACATCACGTGTCCTCCTTAATACCTGTCCCCCAGTTACCCCATCCCCCATCCCCTCCCCCCCCCGTGACCCTGTTTGTTCTCTCTTGTCAAGAGTCTCTATGCTTTGCCTCAATCTCTGTTCTTATCTTATTCTATTTTTCCTTCCTTGTTCCTATGTTCGTCCATTTTTTTTCTTAAATTCCACATATGAATGAAATCATATGGTATTTGTCTTTCTCTGACTTATTTCACTCAGTATAATACCCTCTAGTTCCGGGTGCCTGGGTGGCTCAGTTGGTTAAGCGACTGCCTTCGGCTCAGGTCATGATCCTGGAGTCCCGGGATCGAGTCCCGCATCGGGCTCCCTGCTCGGCGGGGAGTCTGCTTCTCCCTCTGACCCTCTTCCCTCTCATGCTCTCTATCTCTCATTCTCACTCTCTCAAAATATATAAATAAATCTTAAAAAAAAATACCCTCTAGTTCCATCCACATCATTGCAAAATGGCAAGATTTCATTTCTGTATGGCTGTGTAATATTCCATTGTATATATGGACCACATCTTCTTTATCCATTCATCGGTAGATGGACATCTGGGCTCCTTCCATAGTTTGCCTATTGTGGACATTGCTGCTATGAACATTGGGGTGCAGGTGCCCCTTTGGATCACTATGTTTGTATCCTTTGGATAAATACCTAGTGACATCGGTCATTTTGTTGTGAATGAACTCTAAATCCTATTGTTGCTCTTTTGAAAGTAAAGCACCCTTTTCTCTTTCGCTGCTTTTGAGATTCCCTGTCTTTGTGTTTCAGGACTTTTACTATGATGTGTCTCAGGGTGCGTGTGTATTTACTTTTACTGAGGTACAACGGACAAAGAGTGCACACATCGAATGCACAGCTTGATGAATCTCCACGAATGGAGCGGTCTCGTGTCACCACCACCCTGATTCAGAAACAGAGCTTTGCATGGATTCAATTTGCTTGTTTGGGTTCTTTACACAGATGTGAATATACTCAACAGTCCCTTTGTGTGTATCTGGCTCCTTTTACTCAACCAGATGTTGGTAAGATTTATTTATAATGACGTGTGAAATTGGAGACCATCAATTCTTGCTGCTCTAGAATATTCTGTTGTGTGAATAACCATGATGTATTTATCCATTAAGCGTTAAGGGGGAATTTATTTAGTTTCTCATCTAGGATGGATTATATTGCTCTGAATATATTAATACATGTCTATTGATGAGCATATAGGTGCATGTCAGTTTGTATAAACCTAGGAATGTTAATTGTTGTGTTTTGGGCTGTGCAGGCATTCGCCTTTAGCAGGTACGGTCAACATTTTTGAAGGTGATTGTATCAATTTATACTTGGTGCATTTGAGTGCCCTGGTTACTGTTACTCACCAGCTGTTGAGGTTTTTACATCTTCTGTGATACC